CTGCATAAAAATTCATATCTTTATTCATATTTAGGAAACTTCAACTTATCCGTTTAAAATATTAAGTTTTCTCTGAAATTCTTCAAACTCCTCGAAAATCCATTTCCATTGCAATTAATTTCATAGATGATTTAACTGCATAAACTGAGCAAAAAAATAACTTTAAGATTCTGTAAAATTTTATTGAACAAAATTTTAGGTTTTTCAACATTTTACACCTCACTCAATAAGTTCGTAAGATGGATATAGATGGAGCCTCTATCGAAATTTTTTTAGGAAGTACCAACCTTCAGACAACGCCTGTCAAAATTTCATGATAATCTGACGTTTAGTTCACAAGTTACAGTGGTTTTAGTGACGCTACTTTTGTAATTTTCAAAACAATGAAAAAATCTGAATTTTGTGTTGATAAAACATTACTTTTTGATGGAAAAAAATACCGTTGGAGCAAAGCAATGGTTGGATAAGTGTTTTGGGAACTCTTCTCCGTCGAGATAAATGGTAGAGACGTGGTTTGCTGATTTTAAACTTGGTCGTACAGACACAAATGATGGTGAACACTTTGGTCGCCCAAATTCGGCAATTGTTGAAGAAAACATAAAAAAGTCCACAAAATGGTTTTGTCCGATCGAAATATTGATGTTGCGTGATATAGCTGACACCCTGAAGATACCAGAAGGCAGTGTATTCACCATTTTGCTTGAATCATGAGAAAGCTTTGTTCGAAATGGGTACCGCGTTCAAGCTCAAAGTGGACCAAAGACAACAACGAATTGAAGATTCCGAGCGCTATTTGGAGCTGTTCAAGCGAAATAAAATGGATGAAACCTGGATCCACCACTACAATCAGTCGTCAGCTGAGTAGACAGCAAAGAGTGAAAGCCGTATTTTGAGGCCAAAGATAAATCATTCTACAAGAAAGGTATAGAGAAACGTTGGTATGAATGTGTCACTCTTGAAGGTTGTCTTGTCTTGATCCTCATGAATAAAGTCGAATATTGCCCAAAAGTTGTTGTTTTATGTTCATCCTACGAACTTATTGAGTGAGGTGTTACATTTTCATTTACTTGTGCATTTACTATCAAACAATCATAATAATTCGAGCAAGAAATATGATTATAAAAAAAAATATTTTTTTCTATTGAAGTTTTCTTTAAATTTCTTCAAACTCCGTGAAAATTCATTTTCTCTACTTGAACAAAACATATTTTTTTACTGAAATATCCAAATTTTATCACATTATAATTAGTTTTATTGAACAAATCTAAAAAGCTGATTAAATTAAATAAACGATCAAAGAACTAGAAGAAGTGGAGCAAGAAATATGATTATAAAAATTGTATTTTTCTGCACAATTTCTCTTAAAATGTAGTAAATTCTCAGTATTGAAGCAGTAATTTGTGCCGGACGTCGTATATGAACCGATTTTATTACGGATCAATGGAGGGTCATAAATTCCATGCACAATCTCCATTCTACCCCTCTCACACATCTAAATAATATTGTTTTTTCAGAAAACATTTTCGGGTGCGGATTATTTAATTTGCGTAGGAGGACCATACCAATCCCGGTATTACAAATGTAACAGATGGCGCACGTTTCATTTTCAATACTTTACGTGTTTTTTTTGTACTCCTAGTATTATTATCCAGGAAAACTCGACGGGTTTTGAACCCTCATTGGAAGCGCATTCATACTCGCATTATACGAATTTCAATGGCCCTTCGCAAAACCCCCGGATTCGATTCGATTTCCCGATGCAGGAAGCTCATTTGCGTGTTTGTTTGTTTGTTTTCGATTAAAAAAAAACAGAAAGAAAACAAACAAGCAAATAATAAAAAAAAAACAACAACAGATTGTTTACAGCAGATTGTTACTACCATTCGGTCGCATGCTTCTGGATCGTTACGTAACGTCGACGGACGTTTTATTCTTTTTTTTTGTTCTCGGTGGAAAATGGAATTTCAATCGAGCTTTTGACGTGTCTACAAATGCGAAACGTGTCTACAAATGATTAGAAAATCAATTGATAAAATTTAGTCTGTAATTAATGTTACTACAATTTGTATTGATTTAAATGATTTTTACTTACGGACAAAGATGTTGGACATGAGGGTAGCTGGGAGGCAGAAGACGATCACCAGGATGTCGGCGACGGCGAGGTTCACGATGAAGAAGTTGGTGACGGTTCGCATACGCGGAGAGCGGAAAACGACGGCGATGACGAAGAAGTTACCGACGATGCCGACGGCGAACACCAGGAAGTAGGCTACGCAGTAGACCGCAGTCATGGCCATGGTGTGCCTGTAGAAGAGCTCCTGGATGTAGCCGGGATCCGTGGCGTTCATAGTTCCATTCACCAGGAACGCACCGCTCTTGAGACCCACCTCCAGAGGAACGCTCTTCTCCGTATGCGCGTTCACCACTTCGAAGAGGTTCCCCAGGTACTCGACGGACAGCATATTGCCGCTCAGATTCCCCAGAGGCGGCGGCCCCGGGATCAACCTCTTCGGATTGAAATCGTACTCATTCTCCTCCAAATGCAAACTGGCTAACGCCTGCATCGGCTCCTCCGACTCAATGTTCTCTGCCATTTAACAAATCAAAGATTCAATCAATCATCAATTCAACGACGAACCATCTCTTCTATTTTCAATATTCCTCTCTTTATTTCTTTAAATTCTTTATATTCTCAGTTCGAACCAAAAGGCGACACCAACAAAAAAAAGTTTCTTATTCTTTCTGTTTGTTTGAGAAATCAAAGTTTACGCGATAAAATAAAACGCAATTTTTCCGGCCACGACCGACGTAGCCCACAGTCCGTTGTGCAGTGCCAGACGTCGCGGCGCTCGGCGTCGCGACGCATCGCCGCGCCGCGCGGTCGAGCCCGCAACTTCCGGCGGGGCGCAGACGCCCTCAAAGACCATTAGCGAAGCGGAGCCTTTAATCTTCGACAAAATGTTTAAATTAAAAACAAAAAAAAACCTGAGCAAATTTCGAATTCAATTAGACCAAATCATTGAGACACAAAACCCAGGTTTACTAGTGTATTGAACCCAAATATGTATATCCACAAGCAGACTTGTTCTTTTTCAAAAGAATTGAACCAATTACTAAATGAAAATACTGTGATTGGTTTTTTTTTTTGAGTCAGAATCCATAAAACAAATTGCTTTCAAATTAATGCTCTCAGATGTACATTTTTTTTTTGTACTTTAAAAGTCTGATGGTATTGATTAAGAAATAGAACATTGAAAGGAATTTTCCAATTGAATAAGTAGTGTTAAGTACAATTTGATGCGCTGTTTCGATGTGCAGCAAAGCTTGTTCCACTTTTGCATTTGAATTATTCAATGAGTAATGCTTGTAGCTCGGATGTTACACACTCCAACTCATCCCCAAACGGATAACAAAAAAAAATACAAGCGTAAATCTTCACCAGGAACACCAACAGTGTCAATTACACACTAATACATAACATTATCCAGCTTACTAATCATTACAACATCATATTTTCTATTATGTTTCACTATAGAATATTAAACTTACATCTTAAGAAATGGTAGCAACAATAAAAAACGAATATTAACATTACATTTTCAGAAGTAAATCTTCCATACTTAAAAATTAATTGTTACAACATCAAATTGTTCGTAACAGTATTAATCAGATTGTTGTTAAGATTCAGTAAAAACTATCCAAATGTTTAATAATGTTATGAATTGATACAGAGGACTCTTCAAACTATTAAGGTTGTCCCATAAAACGGTTGTGTAAGTGGCAGAAGGATGAAGATGAGAGCTCCAATTTATGGTCCTTCCTCCTCCTCCTCAACCGAACTCCTTACGTTTGCATTCGTATTCATAAAGCGTTCGCACATCTCGCATGCTTTATAGACGCATTTGACTTCGTCCAACTAATTATAATAAAACACTGGTAAGAAAGATAAACAGTGCAGTTTGTGTGTGTTTTCGATGTGGGTGTACGTGTGGCATGTATATGGAGAAAGTTTTGGTAAATCGTGATACTTGATAACTGCATTAGACCAGACGTTCTAAATTTCCTCCGGCAAAAACAACATAGCAGACGTTGACAATACCCAATAAATACGGATAAAATCTAATCCAACCATTTTTTCCCCGATTCTTTCTGAGCAACTGCACTTTTCATTTCCGCACAAGTAAAAAATATTGACACTTCTTCTGAATTCAAGAGCAAATATATAAAAGTAAACTTTTGACAAGTAAAGCCACACTTCAATATAATAATTATGTCAATTTTATCTTAAATAGTAACCATAGTAACTGTGGTTACTATTTAAGATAAACCATAATCTAAGCCTAACTACAATGTGTAACTAAGCAACAATAATTTATTTTTCACTTTAAATGATAAAAGTTTAAAGTTCAAATATCTTAACTTAAAAAGTTCTAAAACAAGCTAATATTTTATTTTTAACTTAAACATATTCTGACCGCTGAAAATTGTCTGTAAGTTCGGAAAATAAATTTAAAAGAAAGTAATGTGAGTGCATCAAGCGTCATAAAATATGTAAGTGCACTCGTGTCCTTTTGCCAAGTCTAAATGGAATTAGAAGAATTTTAAATGGAATTAGTTGAATTCTAAATGAAACTAGAATTTCAAACAGTCGTTGCAAACACAGAAAAGTCTCTCTAAAACTTATACGTTTCAATCGGATGTAAATCCGTGATGCTCCTAACAAACATGTCTATATCAATTGCAGACCATTAACCATATATGTATGTGATAAATTTGTTTATTTTCGGATCGAAAGGTAATGATGCGAAGTCGTTACTCATATTGTAATGTATGGAAAGACCTTTTCTCTGTTCTCCATCATCTTCGCTTTTTACTTTTTGTTTTTCTTCATCATCTTCTCACTCCGCCCATTCGTTTCAATCACTTTGCATCTTCATGAAATCCAACATCTTAACTTAATTTTCTTAGGATATAGCTGAAAATATGATGTGGAAAGTTTAGTTGTTTTTTTAAGTTATTTACTTTATAACGTAAAGTATTTCAATATCATCTTGTAACGCTTTAATTATTAGACTAAATAATCTTAAAATGATAAATTCTGTTTATTTTATAACTCTAAAGGAGAATTATTATAAAATATTTAATTACTAATTAAAATCAAAAATTACTTTTGCAAAAATTTGTAATAAAACAAAATTGTAAATAAAATTATTGATTTTTTATAAAATATGCGAATATCTTCACGTAAAGTGTAATATTTAAGCGATTTCTTTCACTTACTGAAAAATTCAATTATATTTTCTTGCGGCTGTAAACTTAGTGAAACTTCACCATACTTTCAGGACCGAAAGTTTTTCATCCAACTTTAATTTCAACATTCGTCTACTTTGATTTCTTACACCCAGTAATTGAATATGCCAATTTGTCAAGTATACTTTTTTTTGACAAACATTTTCAGCAGTTATGATTTATTTAGATGAATGTTACGTATGGTTTAAAGGAATAAGTTAACCAGTCGAACGCTATGTATTTAATAATGATAATATTGCACATGTTAAAAAATAAATACAGTTTTAAGTAGGATTAAAAGTAATAATATACATGTTATAGATATCGAGTAATAATACTAAATCCTCTACGATTATCAGTCTAGGCGCTAAGTTTATGTACAGATCGGTAACTTCCAGAAGTTGGATTTCCTTTGCCGTGGCTTCCTTAAGGATTTAATGGACAGGTCATGATGAGTCTCTCGCTGGATTTCCTCAGGGCCGAACCCTGACCAACGAGGTTCGCCTGTATATGGCCGTGAGGGTACAGATGTCGCGGTTTCGTCGGAGCATTCAATATTAGATCATCCGAGAAGGACCTCCTTCGGTTGTAGTAATCCCTGATCTCGCGTGACGATCCGTACCGGAAGGAATCGCGCAGCTTTCGCGGCGACATCGATTGAAGCGAATCCTCGTATCCGCTACAAACAGATGCAATGAAGAACAATTATCGTTTTTTTCTTTTATCTCGAGCACTCACTTGCTGCCCTCCTCGGAGGATTGTGTCGTGGAATGGCTGCATTGACATTGGATGCCGTCGGCTATCCCGGAATCCTTGCCGCTGGAATGCAAAGAAGCTATTGAAGTCTCTAAAGCACCCACGCTCCTGGAACGCTCTTTGCCGTGGGACGTCCTGCGTCCTGAATACCTTGGACAGCTGGACTCGTGATGCCTTCGGAAAGAAGAATGGTACACACCTCCGCTCCCGTCATCGTACCGCAATGCATCCCCGAAGCTGCTCGGAAAAAGCGCAGGTTTTCCTAGAGTAGCTATGGGAAATCCTATAGGTTGAGAAAAGCTCTTCTGAAGGATCCTGAAACGCAAAGATATTACACATTTTTGTAACACTTTTTCAAGTTGTAATTATACCTTTTTTTCTTTCGTCTGATACAGATGACGCAAATGGCTGTCGCTAAAGCACCGATGAAAACGACGCATCCAAGTATGACCACTCCAACCTCAAGCGTGGAGAGGACAACCCTTTGACTCCTGAACCTAACCCTCTCCACGGCGCCGCTCGCCAAAGCTAACACTTTGTGCCCCTTCAGCTGATTCTCAATTTCGTTCTGCTTGAGAAGAATAACCCTACAATAAGTAACAAATTAAGACAAATTAAAAAAAGTAAATTGAAGGTATTTTTTTTACGTTTGCAGCTCGTTCATATCGACGACAGTGTTCAGCTTAGGATCGACTGCATACAAAAACATGTCCGTACTATGGATACAAAAAAAAGACAGAGATGAAGAATCACAATCGATTCAAAGTCAAATTTCACTTACGCCGTTGAATCGACTTGATTCCGTTCTAAATGCGGCTCCAGTTTGCGGATCCGCACGTCGAAGCCGGTGGCGTTGAAGAGGGCCCTGAAAAGATGCGAAAAGCAGATGAGGATAAATATAAAAAAAAAAATCCCGGAACGAAAAGGGATATTGGGAGAGAGTGTGTGAGAGAGAGGATTTGAGGGATGGAACGTTTATAGTGGCTAGATCAACTTACTGCGTGATATTTTCCATATTCCTTTCCACGTCGGTGGGTCGGGATCCCATCACCATCACCAGTTGCTTCTCCTCGTCCAGAACGTATACCTGGTGGAGGAACAGTTTTGCGCTCATTTATTTTGGTGCAGGAATAAAATAATCGTAAATTCGGACGGCGGAAGATAAGGGCGGTGAAATAACGAAGAGAAAAACGCGCGAGTTTGCGAATTTAAAATACGTTTATGACCGACTCGACGGTATCTATGGGACAGCGCAAAACAATGATAAAATCCATTGCATAACAATTCATACTAAACACTTATCTTTATAACTGATGAAATCGTTTTGTTAGTTTAATAGTTCGACGATAAAATTAAAAACGTAGTTTAGTTAATTACTAAGTAATATAGATACTATTGAAAATAATGGTCGATAGCCGAAATATACCAATGAAAACTTGTAAAATCAATAGTAATAATACCAGTAGTTTTAATATATGAAAAATAATTAATATGACCTTGAAACCTGGTGATAATACCTTTATGATCTTATTATTCAAAATCTAAATAGGTTATGTTTTGTGTGTGTAAAGTTACAAAGTAAATGTACTGTAGTTTCCCAATTCACTTTATAATAGGAAGCGATTCGGAATCGATAAGAAACGTGCATAAAGTTTGGAATCGATAATTGGGAAATGTAAATAAAACGGAGTGGCGGAATCTTTAATGACTTCGCAAAAAAAGGGGGGTGGTTGTTTACAACGCGAACTATAAACTCGGACTGTTCAGAAACTTTATGCTCGTATTTACCATACACTTGCAAATAAATACGCAGAGTTGCTACTTACAAAAACATTGGCAATGGAGGATTTGCCATCATCGGCTCCTCTCCTGTCCGTGGCCTTCACGTCGAATCCGTAAACTTTACCGGCATCTCGCGCGAAGCTCGAAACGGCCCTCACTTGACCACTAATTGGATCGATGGCAAACCTTCTGGTCTCTTCGTCAGCTCTTCCCAATATTTGGTAACGAACCTCACCATTCAAACCCAAATCCGGATCTGTCGCCTGAAAACAACAGAAAAAGATTATATAAAATTGTGAATAGGCATTAAGATAATAAAGAGGCACGCACAGACGGTCTTTAAAATCCCAAAGCCCATTTATCCCAATTTTTTTTCTCTCCATCCGCATCCGCCCCCACAACCGACGCATTTCAAGCAGCTATTGAGAATCGTCCCTCTTAAAAGGGAATCCACTTTTTTTCATATTATTTGTTGTCGCCTCAGGATCTCTGTCTCTTTCCTATTTTTTCTTCTTTATTTCCTTCAAGCCCGTTCTCGCAAGCTGTGTGTAAACACTTTACAGCGGTGATATTTAGAGGGCGTTGACATTGAGGAGGGGACGTCTGGGTCGGATGGATTTATTGAGCGTGGAAAGATAAATAGGTTTCAATTTAATATACCTGCAGTCTTACGATGTGGAAACCGAAATTCGCCGTCGTCGGGATGGCGGCGACGATAGGCCTTCCGTTGATTGTAAATTTCGGTACGTTGTCGTTGGTGTCCGTAATCCTCACTATAACCTTGACTTCGTTCAGTCCTGAATTGTAAAGAGGAAATTATCACCCGAGATAGTATAAAAGAAGATCCGATGAAGTGAACTCACCCAAATCGCCGAGCCGCTCGTTCGTAACCGGATAAACCATAACCGTCATATCCCTGCCAACTTTATATTGATCTAATCTTATCTTTAATTCATAGTAAGCGCCCTCCTCACGATCAGGACTATCCGTAATGTACAGAGTCCCGTTCCTTGGGTCAATCTTGAACATCCTCCTCAGAGGACTCGTCTTTTCGGCGACTATACTGTACCTCAATTTGTGAGAGCGATACGGCTCAGTCACATTCAAAGTTAAGATCTTCAGAGGCACCGGTACGTTCTCCTCGACCTCCACCTCGTAATATCTATGCGAGAACACCGGATGCTCTATGCTCTTCAAATCTTCAGCGACATCAATCACATTCACAACAAGAATAGCCGAAGAAGTTAAACTAGGCGACCCCAAATCAGAAGCAACAATAGTCACGTTATGCACCTTTTGCTTCTCGTAATCCAATTTAGCAATTGTCGTAATAACACCCTCCTTTGAGTCAATGGCGAAGCAATTCTCACCATTCTTTTTGTAGGGAATATCAAACAGAATAAGCCCATTCCCGTTCCCGGTGAAATCAGAATCATTAGCATACACTTTAGTAACAGGAGTACCAATCGGACTATTCTCAGAAACAGTGGCGTAATACACAGGAATCTTCGGTAACGTAATCATTTGATGATTAGAATATTTCGTCTCCAATTTAGAAGTAGAAACCAAATCATCGTGACCATAAAACGTCGGTGAATTATCATTAATATCAACAACATTAATATCAACGTTAACAGCCGAAGCAAAGCTCTTCCCAATCTTTGGATTATCTCTAGCAACAACCACAAACGAATACTTATCCCTCATTTCTCTATCCAATTCACCATCGATACTCAAAACACCGCTAAAATCTGATATCTTAAACGGAATGTTAACACCATCCAAAGTCTTAATCTTATACGAAAGATTTGCATTTTGTCCGAAATCCGCATCCGTAGCTTCAATCTTCCCTAACACATCTCTAGAGTAAACAGACTCTTTAGCATCGAAAGTGTACCATGATTTCTTGAACACCGGAGGATGATTGTTAACATCCTTAACGAAGATCTTCACCTTAATAGTATCCTTTAAACCACCAGAATCCGTAGCAGTTAAATTCAATCTGAACTCGGATTCAGGAGGTAAAGTCCTGGCGATGACAACATCACCGTTCACAGGATTAACATTAAAATAATGCGTGATATGGAAGGGATCAGTGGATTTCTCGTGCGGAATTAAAGTTTCCGAAATCATCTCGTACTTAATCACCGCATTATCTCCGAAATCTTTATCCGTCGCAATCAATTTCATTATAACACTTCCTAGTGGTATATCTTCCGGGATTATTATAAGCGGAGACACTTTGCTTCTATTTTTACCTCTAGTTTTTATATACGATTGGGTTAAAATATAAGTGTTGTTGCCTTCCTGGAAAAGGGCCACCTTATTTCCTGCCTCATCAAATTCTTGGACAAGTACACCCAAATCGGGGATCACAATCAATTGAGTAAAGATCGGACTATTATCGTTTTCATCTTCAATATAAATGGTCAGTTTGGAATCGTTAGTTAATCCTCCCTTGTCCTTAGCAACTATTTTTAAGTTATACACGGATTTGTCTTCGCGATCCAAAAGAGAGTAAGGACCGCTGAATAATATCTTTCCTGTGAAACGATCCAATCTGAACCTTTCATTTCCTGTACCTTGTAGCGATAAAGTGAACTGTCCGTTTGAACCAATATCCGCGTCTTTCACGTGGATCAACTGCTCCAAGTCAACTTCGGTTCCTGAAGCAGAGTTTTCTTTGATCTTACCCTCGTAGGTGGATCTATCGAAGCTCGGAGCGTTATCGTTCTCATCATCAACGTAAATTATGACTTGATAAATTCCAGTACCAGAGATGATTCCTCGACCGTACTCGGCTATAATCGTTAATCTGTAGACGTCGCGTAATTCGCGATCCAAAGGTTGTACAGTGTAAAGTGATCCGTTTGAAGCAATGGTTATATGATCAGTTACATCTCTTTGATTGGCTATAAAGAATTTAACCGCTTTCGCCGTACTATTTGGCATAAGTCTTCCGATAAAATGATTGGCTTTGTTTTCTTTCACGTGAAACTCCATTGGAAAATTATTGCTTCCTCTGCATCAACAAAAATAATCAATAAAACCGAAATTTAATTATGGATTAAACTTACTTTATAAAGATATTTTTATCTTTAGGATCAACTATGTGTATGGTAACATTTGTTACCAATGACAGCGTTTTGTCATTAGAAATTACAGCTTCAAAGTCGTAAATCACACGTTCGTATTTGGGTATACCATCAACAACAGTTATGGTACCAGTTCTCTCTTCAACAGCAAAAGGTACTAGAATAATTAAAGATTTAATTTTTGTTAAATTTAAGGTTTTAATAACAAACCTCCTTCGTGGTAACTATGTAGAAGATCGTACATTATCGGATTTCTTTGATCAATATTTGTGACGCGTATTTGCCCAACGCTTGTACCAATATCAACGTTCTCTCCAACCCAAAATTCGTAAGGAGCCCCAATGAAGCTTGGCTTGATACTCTCTCTAGACCTGTGATTGATCACGTCGATGGTAACAACAGCCAAAGAAGCTCTTCTCTCGCTTGGGTTCAAAGGTTGATCCGAAGCTTCTATGAACAAGAGATGTTTGCCCTCGGTTATTGCATGAGTGATCGTTATCAATCCAGTTTTATTATCGATTTTGAAGTAGTATGAAGTGTTCGTAGATCTTTGAATGTTGTAGTTGACGACACCATTGTTACCTAAATCCGGGTCTATAGCGTGGATCTTTCCAACTGTATCACCAATTTTAGCATCGGTACTGATCACAAAATCGTACACGTTGTTGGGTAGAAAAGTTGGGTTGTTATCATTGGCGTCCAGTAAAGTAACTTCAATATTAACAAACGATAATCGTTTATCTCTAACTACGCTAGCAGTCTTCTCTTTGGCGTAGACCCGCATGGAAATGGTGGCGCGTTTTTCACGGTCCAAAATAGTTTGATCACGCACCTAAATTTGAATGAATTTAGCAAATTATTTATCCTAAAAATATGTTTACTTACCATCAACCATCCTGATTTGCTATCCAGGCTGAAAGCTCTGCTTTTATCTTCCAATTGAAAACTGAATTCCCCATTATCTCCTTGATCCTGATCCGTTGCGATGATTTGCAAGACACTAAACCCATTCGGTAGATTCTCTACTATACTTATATTGTAAATATCCACTTCGAACTCTGGTAAATTATCGTTCAAATCGATGATCTCTACTTCGACTCTTGCAACACCGGTCTTCAGCGGATTATCCACCTGAGAAGCTTGTATCTGCAAGACGAAGGTGTTTCCTGGAAGAGACTTCTCCGACTCCAAGTCTATTTCTTTTTCAAGGAACAGCGATCCATTGTAATGATCCAAATAGAAGAGCCTCCTCTCGTTCCCAGCTATTATGTCATACCTAATGCGACTGTCGATGGCCAGATCCTGGTCGTAGGCGAAGATCGACGGCTCGAAGCGCAACAGCTTACGTAACTTCGCACCCTGCGAACAGATCGATAGATTGGATGTAATGGAATTAGTGAATGTGCATTTCGCTCGGTCCGTCCATTTCCCTGGGAACTTCCCGTGTGGTATACCGTATGCATTCGCATACATATTTCAATAATTGCGAACGGTTACATCCGTTAGAAGCAGACTCTGTTTTCTGCTTATTTTCTGTTCGTTAATTACGCGCGCCATTAGCTTTGCGACATTACTCACAGTGCGGTTGTGTAACTATATTAGTTTCTTGCACTTTATAAGTTAACCTTTCGTATTTAGCACATAAAATCGTCCCAACTAAACTCTTACAAAATTGATAATAATCTAATTAAAATATGTATTCTTAAGAAATACGTTACAATTAAAGTGAGAGCAGTTCGATTTAACGATAAAAATCAATTTTGTATATTATGACTCAAGCAAAAACGATTTGATTAAAACTTTGTTTGAACAATTTGGATTTACGCCAAAATATGATTTAGTCTGAGGTTTTAATAATTTGACTTCATTTTCCCCACTATTTCAAATTCAGCTAATTATAAAACCATTTAACACATACGGTTTCCTGTATTTACAAATTTACTATCGCTCCTTTTAAGACAATTCCTAATTAAGAAAATTATAAAAGTTGTGTTTGGAAGACTCACCGTGATTGGATAGTTTTCTGTGAGTTTCGTTCTGTAGACGCCTTTGGTGAACTTCGGCGGAAGATCATCATTGTCCACGATGGAAATCTTCACGGTTGCATTGGTGCTGCGCGGAGGAAGCCCGCGATCCTGGAAAAGATCCAGATTACTTTCATCCCATTATAATATTTGCAAACATCGCGAAAAAAAAAAACTCTCACTCGTCGCTCGAAACTCATTTCTTCCCACCATTATCATTATTATGACTTCTTTATTTCGCCTTGCTCCGACGACTTCCTGTATCATTTATTAGACACCTAGTTATAATGGCTTTTAATTACGCTTTCTAAAACGCGGCAAAATACAACAACAACAACAGCAATAGCAACAAATCATCAACGTTTGAGATGGATGATGAGGAGGCCTGGATGAAAGTTAGTTGAATTCTTATAATCCGCTCGTTTTACGATTGGAATTATTGGGTTTAATTTTACTACACTTACGGAGGCCGTAACAGTGAGCAGGAATTCCCGGTCGCCGCTGTCGTAATCCAAAGCCTTTTTTAGTACTAAATAAGCTTGATGGCTGCTATCCAGGGCGAACTTTCCTCTTTCATTGCCTGCGGTGATGGCGTACTGTACATCAGAATTCGGAGTATTCGGCTTGTCCCGGTCACCGGCTTTAATTCCCCGGAATATTGTCAGACCTAGAAGGAGAAAACAGATTTATTTCTGTATCCAGATCAGAAACGTTCAGCTTCCAACGGATCCAATCGAGCGAGAAGAATTACGGCATGCACAAGCATTTTAGAATTTATTGCCGGATCTTCATTGATATTCTTATGATTATATAATGATGTTGCTCTTCATCTGCACCTGATATGCTGGATCGAGTTTGAAAGGATTGCGGTGTTAAGTTCACTTAATCTACATAGAAACCACCAAAGCGCATCGAGATTGATTTGCCTGCTAGGAAGTTCTCCTTTTTCCTTGCTAATTCCACAATTATTCAACTAATTAACGTACCGACAGGTGTTACTTCCTCAACGGTAACGTGGTACGGCGCCTCCTGGAATACCGGAGAATGGTCGTTGATGTCTTCCACATAAACAGTCACGGACAACGATGAAGAAATCTTAAAAACACATAACAACAATAAAATTATGTAAAAAACAACGTTTTTAAACTACTCAGAAAATACTTCATGATAACAGTAAAAATGACGGTTATTGACATTTTTGCTTCAATGTCACTATAACATAGTGTATTTTTATTATAATCAATCAATAAATAAGTTGGTACACCTGTCATAAGTATTAATAAAACAAACATTAAACAAACAAAAAATTTCATATTTTATTTTGCACTGAAAAAGTAGTTCAAGAAATAATATTCTCTAATTAGCAAAACAGCTTAAATTAACCTGAATTTTGTAGCAATTTGTTTAAGAGCGTTAACATATTTCGGTCAATTATCTTGGCTCATTTACACGTTTCGTTGCGCATGTTTTCCTCTCTCATTGCTTTTGTATTTGTACAAGAACTAAGAACTAATTTTCTCGATAACATTACGCTTCCAATTGTATATTATAACTGCGGATTTATAATAAAATCCTGCGTATTACTTCGTTGAATTTGATGGCAATGACTTGGAGAAGCATTCCCATGCAATTACATGCATTTTCACACATAACTTCAATTACTCCCATAAGCAGAATTTCCATATTACAATTACAATAAATCTTTACAACCGCTAACAATTCCTAAGGTCAAAATGTAATTTATATACTTTTCAGTTAATTTTAATCAATTGGTTTGTAATAAATATTTGATTATATAATAAAATACAATATTTTGTGGAAACATCAAAGAAATTTGCATCTACCGAATCTACATGTAATAATATAATTATGACTAATATTATTATTATTATATTAATTGTAAATAATTATAGTATGAAACAAAGTAAAGTTAGTAACAAAATTGAGTAAGATGCAAGATCAAGATGAGTCCAGGAAACCGATTTCGCAACTGCGCGAATCGCTTTTCATCATCGTTGCGAATTTTTCCTTGAATATTAAGTGTTCTTTGTGGAAAATGGGTTTTTATGCTTACCATAATATTTCTCTCTCCATTCTTCTCTCAAACAAAACACACTTTACTAGTGTTTTTTAATTGCTCTTACATTTAAATACAAAACGATTGTTATCAGCGAAACGTACATTCTATTAATCACTTCCTTTCTACACACTCACATTTATTTCTCTATAATACGAATGAAAATAACGTTAAATCAAGAGAAATCTTATTCAGATGCAAAATGCGGACATTAAACTCGCATCAAAAGAATTTGTTTATGCATGTAAATATTATTTTTGGAATTTAAAGATCCAAAACCGAAAGTGAATGCGTTTCTAGCGAGAGAAGACAAATTTAAATAAAATTTGTTTAATTATTCAATGCGTGAAAGCTTATGTAAGTTAAGCAACGGAAATATTTTTATTGTTGACAGATGTGACAGATGTTTGACATTTAATTTAATTCTCTTAAAGACGTCAATAAAAGTATATAATTAGAAATATTTTTATTGGTAATCATTTTGACATTTAATTTCTTTCTAAAAGCATTCAATTGGTTACATATTTGACAGTTGTTTGACATATTGTAATTAAAACTATGTTTATAGTGGATAATTTGACATTTGTCATTTATATCAATCTTGAGGTAAGTTTCTGATTGGTTACTTTAAAACAATTTAAAATATGAATTATTATTAATTTTATAGAAATGAATCACCGCAAATATTTTGTTTGATGACATATTTGGCAGATGTTTGACATATTGTAATTAAAACTATGTTTATAGTTGATAATTTGACAGTTGTTTGACATTTGTCATTTTTTGTCAATCTTGCGGAAAGTTTATGATTGGTTACTTTAAAACAATTTAAAATATGAATTATTATTAATTTTATAAAAATGAATCACCTTAAATATTTTGTTTGTTGACATATTTGACAGATGTTTGACATATTGTAATTAAAACTATGTTTATAGTTTATAATTTGACAGTTGTTTGACATTTGTCAATCTTGAGGAAAGTTTCTGATTAGTTACTTTAAAACAATTTAAAATATAAATTATTATTAAAAAAATGACAATCGCATGTTTTCTCTTGATTAGTTATAATTAATAACAAACATTTCTCTCATTTAGAACAGGTTTATTGCATGTGAATGAAGTACTTTGTAGAATACACCTACGATTAGCATTTCGTTTTCACTTTTTGTTCTTTTGTTTTGGATCAAATCGAAAGTGGAGACACGAAAAGCAATCGTGAGAAAAATTTCAATTAATTCAACAATATAATTCGAAAAACGTACACGCGCACATATAAAAAAAGCAAAAACAAATTTCTCTTGAAATTTATTAATCGTAAAGATGATTATTCTGTGTTCATTATTTCCCAGTGAAATAAATTTATCCAAAACCGAAGATGAATGTTTTGCCACCATCTAGAGATTTGATTTATCACCGCAAATCACTTCACGCTTCGTCGAACAAACGTGTCTTGCAATTAAATACAGTTTTCGTATCTTTTCGGATTAATAAATATGTATTAATTTCTAATCGAGTTTTGTCCTAGTAATCCAAAAAGTTTTTAAAGGGATTGAGTGAAAAGGTCCTTGCAGCGTTTTAATCCCGCGGATCAAGGCGAAAAGGTCCTTGCTGCATTATAAACGACACGTAGTCGGCTTTAACGTTGTTTTTGTCTTTTTTTTTGGAAAATAGTTGAGAGGTGTTTACTCACCACGTCTTCGTCATCGTCGTAATCGCACATCAAGCGAAACTTGAGAACATTTTGCGGGTTGTCCGTGTCGACGAGATCCTCGAGGGGCCGTGCCAAAAGCAAAGAAACGGTTGTGCGATTGAGATCCTTGTACGTGAAATAATGCACATCGTCGCTCTGGAATAACAGTATTTTCATATAATTTACATGAACAACATAATAAGTATAAATGACTACTATCTTTAGACGCATTGATCGAAAGAAAGTTGATCTTGAAAGTGTTGTTATGACCTTTTATGAAGTTAATTGCAATTAATTTCTCTTGTAATTAGTTGATATTCGAAATGTCTTCAGTTTCACGATTGAACTTACTTTGTCGATTGGTCTTAAGCTGAGATTCCTCCTGGGATGCACGTCTACTCTAAGCACTTCTTCGCCGACTTTCAAATTCTCTGGGACTCGCACGAATCGTAAATATTCACCGGGCGGATAAAATTGACAACCTGCAACAAGAATATTTAAGTACTGAATACAAATAAATTTAAAGAGTAGATTTTGTTTTTCAAATAAATATTTTGCATAATTTAAACAGTAAATAGTAATAATTGTACATTTTCATATCATTTAAGAACATTTTGATACATGACTTATTTATTTATTTTTCTGAAAGCTTATTAGACAACGTAAATATATTGATTGTTAACATATTTGACAGATGTTTGACATTTAGTTTAATTTTTTTCAATTATGTCAATATATAAGAAATTAAATAATTAAAGATATTTTGATAGGTGACATATTTGACAGATTCATGACATTTCATTTAAGTTTCGTAAATATGTCAATATAGGGAAAAAATTAAATTGACAAATGTTTGAATACGTAATAGTTTTGACATTTAATTTATTTTTTTTAAGCTTTTATAGTTAAGCAACGTAAATATATTTATTGTTAACATATTTGACAGATGTCACTTACGTCAATATATAGGAAATTTAATACTTAAAAATATTTTGATAGGTGACACATTTGACAGATACATGACATTTCATTGAAGTTTCGTAAATATGTCAATATATAGGAAAAAAGTAAATTTACAAATGTTTGAATAGGTAATATTTTTGACATTTAATTTATATATTGAAAGCTTATATAAGTTAAGCAACGTGAATATTTTGATTAATCACATATTTGACATATGTTTGACATTTAGTTTAATTTTTTTCAATTACGTCAATATATTGAAAATTGAATAGGTAACATATTTGACAGATTTATGACATTTAATTTAATTTTCATAAATATGTCAATATAGATATAAAATTAAAATGTAAATATTTTAATGGGCAATGCTTTTGAGATTTAATTTATTTTTTTAAAGTTTATATAAATTAAGCAACGTTAATATTTGGATTAATGACATATTTCACATATGTTTGACATTTAGTTTAATTTTCTTCAATTACGTCAATATATTGAAAATTGAATAGGTGACATATTTGACAGATCTATGACATTTAATTTAATTTTCGTAAATATGTCAATATAGATATGAAACTAAAATATAAATATTGTAAAGGGTAATTGATTTGAATTTGCCGCCATTTGTGCAAAGTGTTGGCAACAAAAAAAAAACAATTTGACTAAAAACTGTGTTTTCTATTTATTTTTAATTCAAATCTTGCGTTAATTTTGGGATATCCTTTATAAGTTAAGCAACGTTAATATTTTTTGAAAGTTTATATAAATTAAGCAACGTTAATATTTGGATTAATGACATATTTGACAGATGATAGCTTTGACATTTAATTTATTTTTGGAAGTTTATATAAGTTAAGCAAGGTAAATATTTTGATTGCTCTTATACTTGACAGATGTTTGACATATTTAAATACGTCAAAAGTGACAATTTTGACATTTGAAAGCTTATATGATTTAAGAAATATAAGTATAGAATTTAGAATTTATTGATAGATGTTTTTTAAAAGAAAAGTACTAAATGCAAATAAAATGTATGTGTGTTTTTTTGTTCAAATTATAATTTCATAGATTTTAAACGCAAAATAGTAAATAGAATTGTTGATGCTTGCATTGCAACAGGATGAAGCAATGAATGCAAAATAAAAGCAAATGGTTAAGATTATCCAGTATAAATGAATATAGCAGTTAGGAAAGAAGTTGGCAGAGCAATTCTATAAGGATTCTGTAATCTTAACAGCGCATCTGGCAAGTTCACTACACGAAATCTCCAACGGCGGAAAGATAATGAAAGTTGGTAAGCCGACGGCCAATTTTTATTTCTTCGAGATTTTAATTAATTAAAAGACGGGAGAAAGAAAGAGAGGGAGACTTTTCGAGCTGTTTGGACTTAATTTAAATGTGGGTTATTCGAATTAACGAGCGCTAAATATAGGCCACCGGACTCAAGATTATTCCCTTAGACCGGACTTAATCTGAAACAAAGACAATTATTTATTTCTTATTCTCATTTAGTGCTATAGTCTCTTCTGCGATTATTGATCTAATCTCGGTGAGTGGACGAAAATTTATAACTACAAGGAGTGAAGACAATTTCATCACACTTAACGAACGATTTGCTTTTTCGTCTACGTAATTAAGGATGCTTTAAGGAACACATTTAGGATTAAAGTTTACTTCGTGTCTGGTGAACCCTGAATAAGTGTAGTTATAAATTATCCTTTCTATTTTCTTTTTAATATGTAAGATATATTACTAATATGAAATCATACAATATTTGATAAAAAAAATTCGAAAATAACTCTATTTTCTATTTTTTCAGAATATTGCGAAAACTTTTATATATACATTTGATTATGAACACATCAAAACGAGTTTTCTATTGCACATCTCTGGTATAATTACTGTTACGTAACGTTAATTAATGACCGAGATTTTCCTTGTCTCCATGTTCTACTTAATTACTGGATAAATGCAAATTATAATTATGACAATTTTAGCTAAACTATGAAATTTACTATGAATCTAATTGTTTTATTTTTTGTATAGAATGTTATAACTATTTACAACTAACAAATATAAAGATTTTCAAATTAATTAAGAAAATTAGTAGAAAATAATGCATTGACAAAAATACATGAAAATTAGTAGAAACATTTTTTTTGCATTTAAAAAGTGAAATTTTTTGTAGCTCTGAAACAAATTTAGCTAATATTTTACACTAAGAAACAAACTTATATTTTTTTTCCAAAAATTTGTTTTCTACATCTTCAATCTCACCTACTTTTCTATAGAATATAACGATTTTCACAAGTAAAACTATTAAAAAGAAATTATAATTAAAAATTGAAATATTTTGTATGCATAAACTTAATTCTTGCATATTAATTTCCATAATAAGAAACTGTGTTGCATCAACAAAACCAAAAACTTTACATAATTTCCTGTTAAAGATAACTGATAAATAAACAAATTTGTATTAAAAGAAAGAAGTTGCGTTATGATTATTACAATTTGCAGTTGGAATTGGATTAATAATCAAAAACCAAAACTTTAATTGGAATCTGCGTCTGCCGATGTTTAAAATAAAAGGGAAATTGCGTTCAGGGAATAATATTAATACGTATCTCAGGCATTAGGTAATGGAAAATTAAAGAGTTTCCGCGTTATGAGCTTACAATATTAACATATTACATTATGAAACGCCATAAATAATGAATTTATGTTCCCATGAAATTCCAATATAAAATCACGTTTAACTACGAAAAAAAAATGGGAAGAAAGAAACGAAGACATCGATGAATACGGCGCATTTTCGAATCACCACAAGGAAATAAATTAATAAGCGAACTTTGCATAACTTCGAAATCGAAATGCAAATACGTATTTAATAGACCATTCCGAATATCGATGAATTCCTTCAGCGGAGGAAATTACCTCTTCTTTTTTCATAGCCTTATTTTCTTCTTTCTATTCTTCGGCTCATTATTGCGTTAAACCATCGCACTTTTACTTGTTCTATTCTAATTGTAAAGCGTTTTTTTACTCGAGAAATTTCCAATTCGCCAATCGTTGCGTAATTAAGAATTAATTACATTTTAGCGAGTAATAACACTGTTTGCTACTTTATACCTTTTTATTAAATGGAAGAAAACGCCCAAAGGAAAGTAACTTGACTGTAATTACTTGATAGTAATTGGAAAGAAAGAAGTATAGCGATAATCTTAATTGTCTATTATCTGCGATTACAGGTTTAGTATTTGCGTTGTTATATTGGCTGTTACGTCAGGGCGAAAGTCCATTCTTTTCCTGTAATTTGTATTATTTCATCTGCTTTATCTCATTTAAATATAGTAATCAGAAAACAGTTAGAATAACATTTATCATATTCTTCCGACAATTCTAAAATTATTACTTTTAACTTTCAAACTATTATTAAATACTTCGCATAATACGGGTAATCGGTTCCGCCTTTGTTTGAAACCGGACTAATCGAGAAACTTAATAGATACGAAAGTAAAAAATAAATATTGGTAAATAAATATGTTTCTGAATTAAAATATTGGTTTATTTTGAAAGTTTCAAACCGGACTATGCTGAATTTGGAAACCGCACTATGCGAAGTATTGCTATATATAGACAAAAAAGTTTAATAATCATCGAATTATTAAACTCTCTTTAGTTCGGATTAACCCAAATAACTTATTAATTGAATTAGCTGACTAAAAAATAGAAAATAATGGGTTTAGAAATGGGATAAAAGCAATTAAGGAAGTATGGTTTTATTTCATTTTGTTAAAACAACTATTTTGCACTACAAAAAGCAACGCTATTATCGAGGCACACTTTTCTTCGGGCAAATAATAATAATAAAAAAAAACTTGACCAGTTATTTATGTTTCTAGATGAACTGGATTTTATATAAGATAACATGAATATATAGGATCTTTTGGTTCTAATTGTAACAGTTATTTTTTTTATTAACTTTTAACATTACATACGCAGTTTGTCGTCTTGTTGTAAATTTAGAGAAATTCTTTGAATTGTATACACATTTGTTATAGGTTAATATTTCAATTTTGAACATCCTGTCTACATATATTTAGTATACTATGTATATTATCAACTTTAAGTTTCTTTTTGAACAAAAAGAAATAAAAATTATATTTCAATTGTAAAAACTATATTTTTTTCTACAGTTAAAAATTACATAATATTATAATAATTATCAATAAATTATATTTCAATTGCTTGTAAGGAAATTATTATGCATACTTTTATGTTGTTGTTGTTGTTTGATGAATGCAGAGAGTTCCTGCTCTTTACTTTTACTTTTTGATGAAAGCTGTTGACGATTAAAAGAAGGAAATCCGATATTAAAATGTTTCGAATGGATATTAATCGACAAACAATTACGGACAAAGAGAAGACACCAACAAAAGATGTAGGCTCTTATAATACCAAGATTAATAATCGTAGAAAGTTGCACATTGAAAAAAAATATGTAATGCTATTATAGTCTTTG